TATATATATATATATATATACAGTCAGTCAAAAAAGTATTCGGCCACCTGTGAACAATTTTTTTTTCTTCATATTTCTGTGCAATAATTATTCAAAGTCAATTCAATTTTTGTTTATTTATTAAACTTGAAGAATATTCTTTATTATTAACACTATGACGGTTCTTCTGACATTTCACATATTCCTGTTCTTTGGGGACCCCAGGGCCCCATATGTACTTCATATGAAATCTGGACTGTGATAAGAGATAACAAAATAGTGTCTGAGGAAAAGTTGTAATACTCGAGGTTTGCTATAATTTTGCTGCAACAAATATTGCTTATCCCTTATCAGTTCCGCGAAAAACGCGAAAAACCGCGAAAAACGCGACATTTTCCCACCTCGTTTTAGTGAAGCCGATAAGAAGTAAGAGACTTGCTTCTTCGGCAGAAATGTAGAGCAGGTCGAATACTACAACTTTGCTACAGACACCAAGTCGTTATCTCTTATCAGTTACGCGAAAAAATGATAAGAAAAAATTCGCGGTTTTCGCGGTTTCCGCGTAGCTGATAAGAGATAACGACTTGATGTCTATGGCGAAGTTGTAGTACTCAAGCTACTCTACAACTTCGCCGAAAACCATCTTGTTATCTCTTATCAGTTTCGCGGAATACGCGAGAAACCGCTGAAAACCGCGAAAAAAACGCGTTTTTTCTTATCATTTTTCACGGAACTGATAAGAGATAACGAGATGGTGTCTATGGCAAAGTTGTAGCTCTGGTCGAGTACTATGATTTGCCACAGACCCCAAGTCGTTATCTCGTATCAGTTACGCGAAAAAATGATAAGAAAACATTCGCGTTTTTCACGGTTTTCTGCGGTTTCTCGCGTATTCCGCGAAACTGATAAGAGATAACGAGATGGTGTCTATACCAAAGTTGCAAAGCAGCTTAAGTACTACAACTTCGCTACAGACCCCAAGTCGTTATCTCTTATCAGTTACGCGAAAAGCCGCCAAAACCGTAAAAAACGCGAATTTTTTCTTATCGATTTTTCGAGTAACTGATAAGAGATAACGACTTGGTGTCTGTAGTGAAGTTGCAGTACTTGACCAGAACTACAACTTTGCCATAGACACTATTTCGCTATCTCTTATCAGTTTTGCGGAATACGCGAGAAACCGCAGAAAACCGTGGAAAACGCGATTTTTTTCTTATCATTTTTTCGCGTAACTGATAAGAGATAACGACTTGGTGTCGTAGTAAAGTTGTAGTACTCGACCAGAGCTACAACTTTGCCATAGACACCATCTCGTTATCTCTTATCAGTTCCTTGAAAAGTGAGAAATTATGAATTCGCGTTTTTCACGTTTTCGCGGCTTTTCGCGTAACTGATAAGAGATAATGACTTGATGTCTACGGCGAAGTTGTAGTACATAAACTAGTCTACAACACTGCTACAGACAGTAAGTCGATATCTCTTATCATAGTCCAGTTATAATATAAAATAGCCATGGGGCCCTGTGGTCCCCAAAGAACAACCGCGTAACATGTTTTGCGGCAGGCTGTATTTTACACATACTCACACATATGCATATGTTTTTTTTTCATTCGTGTAGAAAAATGTTCAATCTATACAATGAGACTTCACTCCGTTTGATTTATACACTGTTTAGTACTTTTATTCAACTTTAAAGTTCGCTTGGGGCCCTGGATTCCCCAAGAACCGTCATAGTGTTAATAGCATATTTAAAATATTAATCACATTTTAGAATCTTTTTGGGACCTTTTTCTGAGAGATACTTAAATTTGACGCAAAAAAAGTATTCGGCCAAGCATCAATATTGCATGATTTTTTAAGAAAAAAGAGAATATTTAATATTTTGTTGGGTTTCCTTTTGCGCGACGAACCGCCTGCATTCTACGTGGCATTGAATCGACCAAATTTTTGGTCACAGTCGTTGGGATTTTGGCCCATTCGGATACAATCGTGGCTTTCAACTCAGCTATGCTACTGATGCTGATTTGGTGTATTTTTCGATCCAAATTTTTTCCGTGCGATCCGGCCCTTGTACCCATGTTTTTTCAGACGATTTTCCAACGATTCGGCGGTTTTCAAGCTAACTAAATGCGCAAAATCATTCAACTAAGTGACAGTTTAGTTGTATTTCACAATATTGAAAAATTTAATTGGCATCTGTCATCGATAAATGTCAAAACAATAGGAATAAATCATGAAATCGATGAATGGCTGAATACTTTTTTTGCGTCGAATTTGAGGGTTGCGAGAAAAAACCTCTCAAAAATATTCCAAAATGTGTACAATATAATAAATTTGCTAAGAATAATATAGAAAATACTTCAAATTTATTGAATAAACAAAAATAGTTACGGTTTTTATGATTGAATACACAAAAAATTGCGAAAGAAATTTTTTTTTGAAGGTGGCCGAATACTTTTTTGACTAACTGTATATATCTATATATTTGCTGTGTCTTTGCATGCTCTCAGGCTCACAGCACGGAAGCGCCAAATCTCTTCGCTTTAAATTTTTGGCATCGCTTTCAAATCGAATTTATTATTTTATCAATTTGATTAATTTTTGATAATTTTATGATTTATTTGATTTTCATGGGCTGCGTGGAAAAAGGACATCAACGACGATATATTTGGAGCGCAAAATGTTGGAATGAAAGGAATTTTGGTGAAAACTGGCAAATACATCGATAACATCGAGGCTAAATATTCGAATAAACCAACCAAGATTGCTGAATCATTTGCTGATGCCGTTGACTGGCTCATAAGCGAACAGTTTGTTGTTTGATCCAATTAAAATCACTTTTTTCTTGTTGTTGCTGCAGCAGATGCTGCCGCTGCTTTTCTTGTCTATGAATCAAATGTCTCTAATGAAATTGTAGCTTAGTTAATTAACTTTTAATAATGTACACGTTTGGTCAAAGTGTGGCGATAATTGTTTCGCGTTTTCATTTCTGGTTTTATGTTTTTCTGTCATTACCATCAAGCATCAGCACAAATATATCACGAACAAATCGATGATTCATTTACGGACTTTTAATTGAAAAAGTGTATGGCTCACTCACCGTCGTTGTTGTTGAATGTACAAGCGATAACCTTTTGATTGTGGCCAAGAGAAATAAACGACAAACAACAAAACTCCTTCCGTTGCTCAACCGTGCTCAACACTCTCCATAATCATCAGTCGTCAGTGTGTTTATCTCTAATCTAAATATTTGTTGCCCTCATTTGAAATCTCCAGCAAAGCCTGGCTCTGGAAAATTTTTAATCAACAATTCATGCGTCACTATCAAATTGTGTACGACTTAAAAACCGTTGGTACAGCGACAACAGCCATTCAGTTGAGAGTAAATAGTTGAACTATTCGAAACGATTTGACGAAGAAAAATTCTTGTAGTGAAAAAATTAAATAGAGAAAAAGATACGAAAAGAAACGAATAAACAGAATTGAAAATGGTTCTATTCAAAGCAGTCGTACTTGGTTTGTTAGCCTGGCAATTAGTGCTACTTTTGCGTCGTAAACGTGAAAATTCCACCACCACGGAACCAACGTACGTATTCATTCCACCTGAATCATCGGGACCGCACAAAGACGCCGCACTACTCAATCAACGAGGACCACCACCCAGCTACGATAATTCACTACCCGTTAAATACTAAGGAAATTGAACAACCATCATTCACAGAAAAGACTGCTCTGTGTATTATATACAACGACGGACCAGAAAGATGTGACAAGAGTGCGACATGTATTTGAACAATAGCTGACCGGATGTTTTTTATTTAAAACACGAGCTACAGAATCAACATTCGAACTCCCAATAATAAAAAAAATACAGTTCAATAAGTTACTATCTAGGGTCTCTTTTTTATATGTATTTTTATAGCAATAAATTTTGACTGAAATAAAACTGTAACCTTCTGTACCAAAGTGTGCGTGTGTACTATATAATATGCGTTATTTCATTTGAATCTCTTTTTTCCGTTCGTTGCTGCATTTTAATAATACTATTCGATCTATTATTGAAATTGCATGTGATAATGATGAGCGACTTGAATGTGCCGTACCTTAAAAAATGTAAATATTATTCTCGAGCAAGTACATTACATGATAAATTGTTGAAATATCAAATTTAAACTAATTCATTTTTCGTTTTTTGCTTTGGAATTTTTTCTCTTTCCTTTTTTTACTACTCATTATTATTATTTGAGTGAAGTTACACGCTAACGACCGCAATTATGCAAATCGAAAAGAATAAATGAAATTAAATGGGCAGCTGTGGACGTTCATTTGCCGGAACATACATTTGTCGGGCCCCCGATGCGCGCCAAATCAACAACAAAAATCTTTCATTAATTTATTTTAATGCATTCTAATTGTGGAATCATACAAAATACCAAACAAAACGGTTGCGAATTATCAGCTGGTTAGTAGCGTAACTCGCGCGCGTGTGTTTTTTCCAACAGAGAAAAGAGAGGGAAAAAAACCGCAGCCCCGTTGTCTGCATGTTTTGCGTATGACACACAGAGAACCACACAGAGCACATACATACAAACAAACATATATGTATACACACAGACAGCAAACGAGAGCGAGAGCAAGTGTATCGGAATTTGATCTCCACCGAATGAGCAAGGACGACAGGCGATGTGTCAACTTATATAACCGCATAAAGGTTGTGATATGCCTAGGGGCACCACGAATTTTTTTTCGCTCAGCACTCGTGGCTTTTCGCCATCAAAAACAATCAAAATTATTCACTTTGATATATCTCGATGGGATTGGGAGGTGTGCGCTTGCGCCATTTGAAACCCATCCGAAATGAGAGACCGAGTGAGAAAAAAAAGAAACAAAACGAAAAAGCATGAACGTTATTTATATATTTGTTATATTCGGAATCTCGCTTGATGATTCTATGGTCGATGGAGTTGTGTGTTTATCTTTGTGCATCGGAGACACAGCCAGTGCGAGATGCCCTTTTATTCTTACGGCAGTAGCAAAATTACAGCAACTATGAGCCGCCGTTCCTTAGTTCTGCCTTATTTTGGCTTTCTCCTCATTTTTCACGATTTCTGCTGGTGGAGGTAGGGGTGACATTGCACGCATCGCACAACCGGAACAGAGCATCATCATTCATGATTTCTTGCCTCCTGTATGTTATGCTCTGTGCCGCCGCGTTGTTTCTATCATTTTGCTTCTAATTATTCTTGTTGTTGTTGTTGTTGTTTCAGTTTTCTTTTGGTTTTGTTAATTGCAGAAAATCAAAGATTTACCAGGCTTGAAAACTTGTGTGTATGCTACGGCGATGATTTTCGGGTCAGTATCACTTTCTCTCTCGCACCCTGCAAATGCATGCATATGTGAAATTTATAAGTATATATGAAAATTCAATGAGTTTTCGTACACATGAGTTTTCGTACAGCGTGTGTTCATGAATATGGTTTTGTATGGCATCTTGCTGCGTCACATAAAGAACAAATACTTGTGCGCCTTTTGTTGTGTGTGAACAAAATTGCCAGCATATCAGCACTATCGTATGCTCTAAGAGGTATAGAGACAATTCCACCGATGTTGTACCACATATTCTGATATGTTAAATATATGCTCATTAAGCACACACACACACTCTCTTTCTCGTCTTTTCCTCTTTATCGCGCGCGTAAAACACCAAACACAACGTTCATCGCGTAATATATGTGCGGGAAATATAAATAAATTGCACGCAAATCGGATATTTTGTAGGCTAAGTCGATTTTGGGGGATATAGCTTTTTGCGCTGGAAAAATTTCGGTGAAACTGACGAGTTGACGAACGAACGTTCTTAACGTCAAGTGAGAAAACAGTCGTATGACAAGCATTTGCAGAAGAAGGAAGATAAAAAATTGTATGCAGCAGAGAGAGATTGAGAAAATATGTGGCAATAGACAAAAGCATAACGGCTCTTGAGTGGCACGTATCATAAATAAAGCTTCCGATTTATACGCTAAAAATTGGCTAAAAACTAAATCTATTTGAATCGTCGTGCATAAAATCCTGTCGAAGGGAATCATATAATATCATTACTTTGAGTTGTCGTGTATTGAAGCTGCTGCGATGAATTTGCGATTGAAAGCCTAACGGCAACAACAAAAATCTACACCGAAAAAAGGGCGAAACGGATGGCAAAATATACATGCACACACAGACACACATTCGCCTCTATCGCTTCTCTGCCTTCTTTGCGTGCTCCATTTGCCAGCTCGGATATATCAGCTCGGTGTACTGACGATGATGATGGTGGTGGTGGTGATGGTGGTGGTGATGCTAATGCTGCTGCTACTGCTGCCTCGATGCTCTAACAGAGCCTTTCCACAGGGCAAAATCTTGCCGTTTTGTATACATTCATATATTTTCAAAAATTGCAAACACAATCAGAATAAAGGTCACAAACAAAGTGCTGTGCAAACGCGACGATAGAAAGAGAGAGAGCGCACGAGATATAGAGAGAAGGAGAAAAAAGTGGATGCTGCTGAAGCAGCTGAACACACCACACACCAATTGCTGCGTATGGAGTGGAAAGTCGATTGAACGAAGCGAGAACGGTGTTGGATTGGTATGTAGCATAGCGAAAAATCGGTCACCAAGCGGCAGTATAGTAGTGGTTGCCATTGAGATAGCTCCGATAAATAGCGAGAGACGGGAGAAACGATTGTATAACCGAAAAATATCGAAAGGCATATAATATCCCCAAACCGTCGTTTGGTGTTGGATTATTTTCGTTGTTTTTTGTGTGTTTTTTTTTGGTTTTTGGAGAAAAAGAAATAACTCGTGTGTGTTGTTCTTATAAGGAAAATAGTCCAAAAAATATATAATCTTTCTATGCGATAAGCTTTGACAACACACTCTCTCTCACACACGTACTACCAACGGGCACAAATGTGTCCAAAACGCGTTCCATCCGACCGAGAAAATGTTAGGAGAAATTCACAGTTTTCGGTTCTTCAATTTTTTTCCCTTGTAAATCGTATCCATTTCGCTAATGCGATGACGCGACATCGATAAAACATTAAATTCCGTGGACAAAATCATAAATAAAAGTTGTGTGCCCAAGTTTTCTGCTGACATTTTTGAAGAGGAAAATTTCTTCTTCCATTTTTTGGCGAACTTTACAGCGAAGAAGAAAACGGAGCGCCCGAAGAATGGGAAAGAACAAGAAGAAAATTCGGAACGTTGCTGCTTAACCTACAAATGCCGTGTGTTGGATGTTGTGTTTGAATGTGAAAATTCCAAGTGTTTACATAATCGAAATGAGTAACGCAGAGCAAAAGAGGGATAGAGATTGAGTTTGGGAGATGCAAAATCGACATCCGACAAAACTTTACCATCGAAATTTATGGCTCTAATAACAACCGAACTGTGTATTGAATTGATGAAAAGAATTTGTTTAGAGATTTTCCCTTCGATCGCCTTTCTTGACTTCTTTTTGTAGTTTGACTTCTTGCCTTCCCTATCTCCTCATCTCTCGGTTTCACTCCTTGTCATCATTCACAGCCACACACACTTAGTTTTTCACCGAGTTCGGTTGTGTGGCTGTGATTCGTTCCGAATCTTCGTTTCTTCTCGGGAGGGTGATGGCTTTGTGATCGCAATTTGATTTCGATTTGCGTGCGAACGCGTATAGGAAAACGTCCAAAACAACGTGTACCGTATTCAAATGCAGTCGTGCTATGTGTTTTATATGGTTTATTTTTTCTTCGCCGTTTCGAAACGCTCTTTTATGCCATCCACACGCATACACTATTTCCACTATGATTCGATGTTTCGAATATGTGTATCGTATTGTCAGACCAATTAAATTTGCCTTGTGCGTTTCTCATTTTAACATCAGCTTTAACCCACTCTCTCTTCCGCTTCCTCTCACTCCCTTCTTCTCTTTTCGACTGACGGTGTTTGACTGCTTTCGTCGTCGACATCGTTGCCATTGGCATTGCAAAAAAGTATGCGAATTTTGTTGAAAATCCATTAAACAAGAGAAAAGTCATAATCATATCAAGCCAAAATCTAATGTTTTGTATTTGAGAGAGAGATAGTATGCGAACAATTAAATTAAATTTTGAAATGGTGTATGGCAAATGTTGCGAGAACAAGCGCACACGACAACGGAAAATATAATGTCATTTCCAACTTGTGAATTGAGTGCCATATATTTATAATATCGTTTCGGTGTAAAAAGAACGATAAAATTTTTGATAGAAGCGACTAGGATAGAGAGAGAGAGAGAGACAAAGAGAGAGCGCGAGAGAGGACAAATTCAAAACGTGATTACAACATTGTTAATGATTGATGATGAACAATTGCGTTGACAGGTTCTCGGTTTCCAATGTTTCCGTTCTGTTCATCAATTCCATTCATTTCAAAATCATTACTCCAGCAAAAGCATATCGATTCCAATTTTTCCTCATTCAATTTGATCAAATGTAAAGAATAGCGAGTGAAAGAGACACAGAGAGAGAAAATCGAATGAGAACAAAAAACGAAATAATAGAGAGAAAAAAGAATGGAATTCAATTGAATATCGAATGCGGGTCGGCAACAGTGGAACAAAAAACGTTTATTACCGTCGCGAAATTTGTCAGTGTGATTTGAAGAATTGAATGGCCAATTTACTAATTTGTAAAAGCTCATACAGAGAGCATCGACAGGAAATCAAAAGGGACGGTGAATGAGAGAATGAGAGCAAAAGAGCTTTTGTTGCTTTGGTTTTGCATTTAATTTTCACAGCAAGTAAAAATGTAACAAAAAAGTAAAAGGAAGTATTGTCAGAAGATGGAATAGACATTTTGTAAGAGATTCAAATGGGCCATTTATTATCCCAAGCTCAAAATCCATCCTCCGGCGTCCATTCTAACATTCCTTTCCCCACCACCACCATCACCACCACACTAAAACACACCATACCACACATCATTATA